CCCCAAAAAAAAAAAAAAAAAAAAAAGAGAGAGAGAGAGAGAGATAACATTTATTGTGTGACTAATCATTGAAATTCTTAAGATGAACTGGACACTGCAACAACTTCCAGCTGCCCTCTTGGGCTTAGGTGTTGACGCTTCATGGAACCCATACTTGAATCTGTGGAATACAATTTGTTAGGTGCCTCATTAGACCAGTCCCAGTGGTATTTCGTCTTTCAGCCTTGGCAATCAAGTTATGCTTTCTCTTATGTTTGGCAGAGTAGCCACATTTGCCACAAGTCGACTTTTGAAAGTGGTATGCCATAGAGCCACAGTGATGCCCAACATGTGAGTCTTACTGTGATGCTTTCCAAATGATGACCTTTTCTTCACTTTTTTGTTTCATCTATTTCTATACTTTAAAAAATAAACTGACTTTTTTTCCTCAACATTGTGTTTATGAAATTCCTTTATATTGTTGAGTATAGATTCTTTTTCTTTTTTGTATGTGGTCATACCACAATGAGTTTATCCATTCTACTGTTGATGGGCATCTGTGTATTTTCTACTCTGGGCTGTTATGAATAGTGCCACTTTGGTGAGATGATACCTCTTGGTGAATATGTGCATGCATTTGTGTTGAGGAGCGGAATTGCTATTTATAAGGTATGCAAGACCTAGTTTTAGTAGTGGCTGCCATCGGTTTTCCAAAGTGATCGTACCTATGCTTACTGCCTCCATTAGCAATGTATAAACATTTCTGTTACTCTACATACTTCACCAACACTTGTTATTTTCCATCCTTTTATTTCAGCCCTTCTGATGGGTGTGTGGTGAACAGTATTATTTTTACAATCAAAAGGAAATCACACATATTTACATAAATGTTAAGAAGAGGGTATAGGAAGAAATAGCTTCATGACTAGAATTTCAGAATAACTAAAAAAATGTTTATTGTATTCCTATTACTTTTTGGGGGGCATTGCATGAGGCTAATTAAGGATATGGTCTCTATCATGAAGCTCAGCCAGTGAGAGAAGGAGAGACACAGAAATAAGTAAGTGCAAACATTGTTATAAGTGCTCTAAAAAAAGGAACACTGATGAAAACGCAATTAATTCAGGTTGGGGATGTCAGGAAAAAGCTGGCTAACTTCGGCTACATCTTAAGATGGAGCTCAGGCCTCAGAACCTCCAAAAAGGCTTCCAGGACTTTCCTGAAGTGCCCTTCTCTGTGTTTCCCAAAGCATCTTCCTCTTGTTACTTTGGTCACAGTGCTGGTTACCCTGTACTAAAATTGTCTGTGTCTGTCTGTCTTGCTAGTCCATAAGCTGTTTGAGGTCAGGGACAGACTTTCATCTTTATATCCTCAACACTAGCACAATGCGGTGCCTGGCCTAGAGTAAGAGCTGGATGGCTATTGAGTGAGTAAAGGGAAGACAAAGACTAATGACCACTCCCACGCCTTCCCATTTCTAGTTTAACTTAGCCAGCCCTTGCATAAAGTTCACTTTGTAGAATGGAGAATTGATGTATTAAAACATAGTGAATTATAGCAATAAAAAACTTATCAACAAACAATCATTTTTATTTTAAGTTTTGATACAGTATCTCACTCTGTTGCCCAGGCTGGAGTGTAGTGGCATGATCATAGCTCAGCTCACTGCAACTCAACCTTCTGGGCTCAAGTGATTTCCGCCTTAGGAGAAGTAACTGGGACTACAGGTACACACCACTACACCTGGCTACATTTTGTAGTTTTTTAATTTTGTCTTTGTTTTTTTTTGGGGGGGGTTGTTTTGTTTTAAAGATGGGGGTCTTACTATGCTGTCCAAGCCAGTCTCGAACTCCTGGCCTCCAGTGATCCTCCCACTCTGACTTCCCAAAGTGCTGGGATTACAGACATGAGTCACCATTCCCAGCCAGAATCACTTCATTGATTAAGTGAAGCAAGGTTTTAATAAATGGTACAGTGACACAGGAAGCCTCATGTTTAATTATATTGGGACAATCCCATTCAGACAATTGACATATATAAATTGCCTTAAAAATATTTCTGGCTTCGGCCTGGTGTGGTGGCTCAAGCCTATAATACCAGCACTTTGGGAGGCCGAGATAAGAGGATTGCCTGAGCCCAGGGGTTCGAGAACAGCCTGGGCAACTTGGTGAGACCTTGTTTCTACAATCAAGCGATAAAAAAATTAGCTGGGTGTGGTAGCACGTACCTGTAGTTCTAGCTACTTGGAAGACTGAGATGGAAGGATCCTAAACCCAGCAGGTCAAGGCTGCGGTGGCTCACATCTGTAATCCCAGCACCTTGGGAGGCCGAGGCAAGAGGATTGCCTGAGTTCAGGAGTTCGAGACCAGCTTGAGTATCATGGCAAGATCTAATCTCTACCAAAAAAAAAAAATTAGCCAGGCGTGGTGGTGCATGCCTGTGGTTCCTGTTACTTGGAAGGCTGAAAAGGAAGGATCAAATGGAGTCTGTGGTGGCCGTGAGTGTGCCACTGCACTCCAGCCTGGGTGACAGAGTGAGACTCCAACTCCAAAAAAAAAAAAAGATAAAATAAAAAGAAATATTCCTGGTTTCAACATAATAATCTAAATTTGAAGGCTCTGTTTGGGAAAAATAACAATAGAAAAAATCTTCCACACCAAAATATTACTTCCAATCTTATTGATTATAGTTTTAAAAAAGGAAGGGGAGAGTGGACATTTGAAGTGCCCAACCACAGGGCCGTGGTAAGCAGATTATGATATTCAAGCAAAGTGTTGGACTATAGTGAAAAGAATGCCTTTGGAAGCCAGGCTAGGTGGCTCAGCCTGTAATCCCGCGCCTTTGGGAGGCTGAGGTGAGTGGATTGCCTGAGCCCGTGGGTTCGAGAATCCCCTGGGCAGTGAGACCTCATCTCTACAAAAAATCAGCCGGGCGTGGTAGTGCATGCCTGTAATTCCGGCTACTCAGAAGGCTGAGGCGGAAGGATCGCCGGAGCCCAGCAGGTCGAGGCTGTGGTGGCCGGGAGCGGCCACTGCACTCCAGTCTGGGCGACAGAGTGAGACTCCAACTCAAAAAAAAAAAAAAAGAATGCCTTTGGAAGCAGAGAGGGCAGGATTCACCATTTACCTCTAAAATTCTCCATTTACCTTTTAAGAGCTGCATGATTGATTTTAGATCCTTGTTTTGTAAAATGAGACTAATGATACCCTACTGTTGTGGTTGATGTGAAGATTATGTCATTAAATAAGGCTCTCTATACCTAATAGTTATCATTTTCACATCTATTAAAATGAAGTTTGTGAAGAAGAAACACCTACATTGGAGTCAAATAGTGCTGGTGTTTGATTTTCTGAATTCAACCGTACCTGCTAGGTAATACCTCTATTGCTTTCCTAGTAAAGACAGTGAAAACAATGAAACATCAAAACATTCCAAAAAATATGTAAGATACTTTGTTCAGATTGTAATGATTCCCTCAAAATCTTGGCAGAAAAAATTGATGGAATTATGAGTATTTTTCCTTCTAATTTTATTATTCAGATTTTCTATGATGACCATGTATTTCATAGTTAGAAAAAATCTTATTAAAAATAAGTTGAGAGATAGAGACAATGATGGTGCAAAAATATATTAGAGAAGAAAATCTGAGAGGAAAGAAATGTGGTTTGGAAAGAGTACTGCCAGTATTGATGTCACAAATGGTCCAAAGAGCTCCAAAAAAAACCCTTCTAAATA